CGTCGTTCTCCTCCTCCTCCTCGCGTGGAAGCTTGTGGTCGCGTTCTCGAGGCGCCGTGGACTCACCCCCAGAGATTCGAGCTCGAGTTCTAATCAAAGCCCTATTCTAAACCCTAGTTCATTGCCTGCGTAAGATCCTCTCGCTTTTTGCCTAGAATCGACTTAAATTTGACCGTCGACTGATATTTGGTAATATTTAGCTATTAAATTGATCTTTTTTAAATTGTTTTTTTTTGGCTGTGTAGAACGTCGGGGATGATTTCGGATTCTGATTTGAGGGAATTGATGGGGGAATTGGATGTGAAGAATCAAGAAAGAGGGAGATGGGAAGATGTGACTGATAAAAAGAATGGTTCAATATCTTATAGTGCAAAGTGCTGTAGACCTCAGGTTTGCTGCTCTAAACTTGCAAGTAATGTCTAAAAACGCATTGAAATTATTTTGCACGTGTAGAGTTTTAACTATACTTTTTTGGTTTGCTATGTAAAGATGGCATCTTGTGAAAATTTGATACTTCTTTCATCCCTTTTATCAAGTATAATGTTGCAGACATCTAAATTTTTTTCACTCGTGTTTCGGCTGGTGATCTAGATACACAAAAAGTCAGTTTTCGAGGACTTTATGCTTAAATGGAGGTGGATGTATAGACATATCTTTTGAATGTAATCGTATGCGGCATTAGTTATGGTTTACTTGAAATTAGTTAATATTGGGTAGCTGTTTTATTTGCAAAAAGACAACTTGTCTTTTTTATATGCTCCAATTCTTTTTATAGTTCCTGCTTATATTTTTGTTTTAATCCTCGAATGTTTTGCTGAAGTTGTTTCTCCTCCATCTTGGATTTCCCAGACAATAGACCCATCACTTAACAAATAGACCTCTTTCTACCGCATTTTTAGATTGGCCCATGGCTACATACGGTACCCATGGCTGTAAGGTTTAACTGAAATTAGGGTCTGAAGCTATTCCTAGTATCATTTTACTTTTGGTCAATCGAAACTCCTTTTACCATCTCTTACATGCATAACTTCAAATGGTAGATGCTATATTCATGTATAAGAAAAAAATGTTACTCCAAGCATAATTACGATTGGAAGCCGTTGGATATAACTTACCATCAGTCGTCGCAGGAAAGTTATTGGAACCTCTGTTGTTATACCCTATGTTCATGTTAGAGAGAAGCAAAGTATGACCTGTAAATGTCATTTACTGGATTGTTCATTATCCTTTTTCAAAATATCGTTTCCATTTATTACATGCACCAAAACCATTTGTTTCCTTCAGCGACATTTTGATACATGTAAGCTCTTCATTCATATAGCATGTTAGAGAATGATTTGAAGGAAAGTAGGATGGAAAGACGGAAAATGTATTATATTGCACTTAGGCTTCAAGAAGGTCCAAGAATTTGATTATGTTGTTATCATCTTACTTGTCTGCCAAAAGAAGAGAGTATATGAAATGCAAAATTTTGATACACTTCTTTCAGTTTTCTGTATAGAGTTTTTAGTTGCAGTTTCTAATGAAAGCTATATTATTAAAGGCGCCTGTGGACGTGCAAGCACAAGTAGGCATGCAGCAGCTTTGCTTCGCCTCCAAACATCAAAATACTTCATACTGGATTTCATTTTGAGCCATTCATATAACAGCTTTCTCTAGAGTTATTATACAATTCATATCAATATATTTATTTTCTGAATTTTTCTAATTTTTATCAAATCATTTTTGAACTTTTGCCAACTCAGTCATGGGCTAGAATTGATAGAATTTCATGGGAAAGTCACTTTTTGTTATATATTAAATTTTGCTAGCAGTAGTTATTGTAGCCTGAGAATTGTAAATTTAGAAAAGCTTTATTTTCTCCTCATGTAGACCACCACTAAATTTTGAAGTAGCAGTTACAAAGAAATTCTTGACATTTACTGTTGCTGTTCAGGTTGGTCCCCTGAAGTACCTGAGTGTAACTATATTTGAGAAATGCTCTACAGAGCTGTTAAGAGACTTCTACATGGACAATGAGTATCGTAAAGAGTGGGACAAGACATTGATTGAATACAAGCAGTTGCAGGCAGATGAAACCAGTGGTACAGAAATTGGGTCAATGATAAAAAAGTTTCCTCTTCTGACACCAAGAGAGTATATACTGGCATGGCGTGTATGGGAAGGGAAAGACAAAACCTTCTATTGTATTGTCAAGGTAAGATATCCGTTGAGAATGTGGAAATTATGTTTGGTGTTGTAATCCTTTGATCATATCTTGTTTCATTCGTGCAATATAATTTGGCATATAACAAAAATGGAGTCATTTAAAGCTGGACACTTAACTTATGTTTATTTGTGTCATATTTTACTCTAGAAAACCATTGGTGTTCTGTTGTTTGGATCAACAAGGTTTCATGTAACGATTATTGAGTACAATTCTCAGCTTTACATGCATACTTGATACAGTTTGAATGCTATCAATTATATCATGTTGGCTCAAATTAGTTCTATTGTAACATTGTACGCTTCCATGTAATATTTATATTAGCATGTACCATAATAATTGCCATAGTTGGTAGCAGTCTTCTGGAGTGACGTTCCATCTAGAGCCAGAGATTGGCACAGAGAAGTGAGGAATGTAACGTTTTTGTTACACAATAAATGATCTAATTTGCGAGCCACTTTTAGGTCAATAGGCCCTTGCAGTTGTTTGGGTAAGTTTCACTACCTGATAGCTGCAATTCAAGTTATCAAAGCAATATGTCGAGTCTCCTTTCTTAATCTCAAATAATTCCTAATTCTTCTCTTTATTTCCATGACAGGACTGTGAACATCCCTTGGCACCACGACAGAAAAAGTTTGTTAGAGTTAATTTCTTCAGATCTGGCTGGCGTATCAGGAAAGGTAAGCAACATTCTCATATCAGTATTTATTGGGTTCACCAAGTTGCTCAATGCGTCAATGGCATATCTAGATATGTTTCCAGTTGTGGCCTTTATTGTAAAGGCTAGCAGCATATTTTTTTGGTTCTTACTGAGTTTGAAATACCAATTAGTTCAGCATAGAACTTTATGCCTCATTTGATTCCCAGGTGAGTGGGAGAAATGAAAGGATACTCAAGATACTGCTCTGCTTAATTGTGTTTTGAGAGGGCAAAAATAAACCCGGAGAAGATTATAGACGGGTGAGATTTAATCTATAATAGCGCGGAGGTGAGAAGAAACAGCTGTGTTTCTCTCTTTTCCCCCTTTGCTCCCTCTCCTAGCACAACAATCCAAGCACACACAGACATATCACAATATTTTTAGACACAAGCCTCAGTTTGGAGAAGGGACGATACAAATTCAGCCTTCATTCTCTGTCATCCATATTAGCAATGAAAATAACTACCTAAATTATGTAGATACTTGATTTACAAGTTTGACACATTGCCTCCTTAACTTTTTCTTGCTCTTCAATTATTCCTTGCTCATTCTCCTCATGTTACTTCCCTCATTTTAGTTCAATGCTGCTTATATTTATAAATGTGACTGTAGTACCTGGTAGAGATGCGTGTGAGATCACAATGTTGCATCAGGAAGATGCTGGCTTGAATGTAGAGATGGCAAAGTTAGCTTTTGCCAGGGGAATATGGAGCTATGTGTGTAAGATGAACAATGCACTACGTGAATATTCTTCTCCCATACGTAGCAGATCAACTTCAGTTGCTACCATGCTTAGGCTTATTAAAAAGGTTAGTGCCCTTCCACATCATGGAAGTTCTTTCGAAGAAAACAAAATTTTATTTCTCTGTAGTATAATCGTTGTCAGCATTAGTGTACCTATATCACATCTATTGCCGATATGTAATCAGTAGGAGAATAGCACTGGTGATTGAGTGTTCGAATTTTTTTGTGTTTTTTTTTTGTATTTCATTTTTATTTCCCTGTCGGATGGAACTTTGTGGCTATCACTAGGTAACAAGTGGTCCACTGATTTAGACTTCTTGGATAAAGCAGTTTAGGCTAATGCCAACTTGAGGGCTTACTGATATGTGGTTGTAGGAACCTTATCCATCTACTATTATTGGACTATCTTTTTCGGCTAATTTATTGTGATCAGATATATGTCTCACAGAGAACGATGTGACAGTAAATACCAAATTAGGATTAATGCGTCATTCCAGTAGACTTGGTTACTTCCCTTTCAGCAGTCCTTGTTTTGATAGTTGCTGGAGGGCTGGATGGAAGTATTTGTCTTCCAAAGTGTCCAATTTATTTAAATGTTTTTTTTGGTGGTTGTGTTCTGTGAAAAATACATTTATTTTGGAAAAAAATTCTTTACAGCAACTATGATCAATAATGCTTATAGATCAGAGTTGCACAGTAATTAACATGTACAAAAAATAAGGGGTTAATTGCGGATAGATTACCTGTAGTATCGCTGTTTTTAACTTACTACCCCTCCGGTTTTATTTTTGCAGATAGACCCCTTGAGTTTTTTTTTTGCTCTTTTACGCTCAGAGAAAGAGAGGATATTTTTTTAAAAGAAAGATAACCTGGAGATGGTTTGTTGATATGCACTGGAGGCCAGTTGATGTCTAATGAGAAGTGATGGTTAACTGGGGTTTGTCATTAAAATAGTTTGTTGGAAGCAATTAAGAATAATATAGTAGTGATTAACTTAATGGGGGAGATAACTCTTGTCAGACCTGAATGAAAATTAAGATTCATGTAGTCTGCTTCGAAAATTTGGGGTAACATTTCTGATATTGTTGCTATTCTGGAGAGAGAGCCATTTGAAAACTTACCAGGCTTTGGTAAAAAATTCTCACTTCCTTTCTCAGGTTCCTGATGTGATGGAGATGGATTCTGGAACAACTCACCAAATTCTTCCTGATATCATCCCAACAAGCAGCAACATACCATCAAAACCGACGCTATGGCAAAGCCCATCGAAGAAGAAACTTATAGCGAACGGCCTCCTCCTTCTTGGTGGCATCGCTTGTCTGTCTCGAGGAAGAACCACCCTCGGCACTCAGCTCGCCATGGCTTGCATCCTCAAGAAGTTCATGAAGCGTGGGCCCACATCGGATTCTGGTAAGACTGGGCCCGCGCGGATCCCAAAGGGCAAGCGTTCGATCAGGCATAGAGATTGATATGCAGTAATTTCATGTTCTTGCGAGGTTCAGACTTCGCCCTGTGAATATATGTGTTGTCGAAGGAACTCGTATTATACAGACTTTTTGGTTGCAGGTGTATAATGAGAAAAAGCTGTCAGCCTGCTTTTTTAAGAGGTCTTGAACTATTTGCTAAATTAATGCTTGGAAGTGTAGGTGCTCCACCAAAACTACTTATGGACTTTATGCGGGTTTTCACAAAACTATCCTAAGATCTTTTGCTGGGGACGATCATCATGAAACTTTTTCATCGAACTAACATGTCTCCCTGCAATTAGCTTGGTTTGATAGGAGGGGAGGCGAGGGGAGGGGAGGAACAAAAATTAGATTTGACTTTGGTAGGGAGTTTTTAGAGGGAGAGGTAGAGTGAGGGGAACGAGGGGACACGAACTAAAAAGTTACGGAGAGAAGAATCCCTTCAGATCGGGAGGGTTCAAGTGGAGAGAAAAAAAATGAACTACAAAGCATCCCTTCTCCCTTTCCCTTCAACCAAACAAGAAAACTTGAAAGGATATCCGTCCCTTCATCTCATTGCACTTCCCTTCACCTCACCTTCCCTCCTTAAACCCTCTACCAAAAGAAGTACCCTCTACGTCAGGTTTACATAGTTTTTGAATTCCCCATAAAAATGTAAAAATGCCCGTTTGGATGGACGTAACTATTAGAAGTAAGAAGTGGATCAAAGAGGTAACTTCCTCAATTATGAAATAAAAAGTAGCGGAAGCAGTACTTATTTTGTTTGTTTCATATGTTTTTAGAAGCAGCGGAAATAATACTTCATCGTCTTCTTTTATTTATTTGTTTGTTTGGATAGAAACTGGATAAATTATTTAAGATCATCTGCCCATGATAAATCTCTAATTTAAGTGGACCCTACTTTTTATCCACTTCCCCTCTACTTCTGAACTTTTATAGACGGGAAAAAAAATCTAGGAAGTAGGAGTGCCATCTAGACGCCACAGCTGCATTTATGGAAGTAGTTGAAGTAGGTTTTTTCGGAGAAACAAACATAATTTTTTGTTTGAAGTATGAGAAACTTCCTCTACTTTAGTTACCTTCGTGCAAACAAAGAGGCCTTAAGGTGGAACTATTTATGGCTAAACGACTTCAATTATTATTTTTTATTAGATCCTAATTTGTCGCGTAATCTTCACTTTTGTTCTTTCGATGATAATCTATTTTCACAACTAAAAAGACATTGTATTTCACTCGCATGCCAACACGAAGGCGAAAGACAAAAGGGTTTTTAAAAAGTAACTTTCGCACATCAATTCACTCCCACCTTGGCCAGCGGTGCCCTGAAGAGAACCAAAGTGCGGCTTCTTAAGGAGGGATAATTTGGTGGATTTTTGTCTTAATAAGTTCATGCTGGGTGTTTATGGGCCTTAATGACCTTCAAAAGGTTGTATAAGAAAACTATCAATGTGCGCCCTCCGCTCTGTGGAATAGAATGAGATGCTTCATGCTTGGAGTGCAAGCTGGCTTCATGCGTGGGGGGCAAACTGCTAAAAAAAATTCAAATCAGTGTGCGTGACAAAACCACTGCAATTGCTGCTGTTTATTGATTTGAAGAAATTTTCTAAATAAACATATTCAGATTTTTTTTAAATCGACCCTATTGAGTTTTTTTTATACAAAAACCGACCCGTTTTCTCGTCACGTCAGCATCGTGGTGAGAAAGTGGGTCGGTTTTTTTAATCCGGTTCTTAAATAGTCGGGATTGCCAACCCCGACTATTTAAGAGCTTGCAAATCCCCAATTACAACCCTAAACGTTGACATTATATGCGCTAAATAGTCGGGGTTGGCAACCCCGACTATTTAAGAACCTGATTAAAAAAAATAGGTCGATTTTTATAAAAAAAACTTAATGAGATCGATTTAGAAAATTTCTTCTTATTGATTTATTTATTTTTAAATGACTGGATTTTTTCCAAAACTACAACCGTAGCGGTTCAACGTTTGAATTAATTCCTTTAGGAAAAAATGTGTCCAAGCCCCAAAAGCAGAAACTTCATGTGATGAAACCCCTTGTATTTTCCGTCATGTGGATAAGCCCTAAATACGCACAGTATTGACACATTTTTCCCAAAAAATTATTAAACCTCAAAATTGGATTGTTTAAAAATTTGTCCGTAAAGCAACTGAAACAAGGGCTTTTCTGCAAAATGAAAAACCTCGCCCTATAAAATCCCTCCTCTCTTCGCCTGGTCTCCAGCGGTACCTTTTTCCTCTGTCGCTAATACCCTAATTTTTTCCGAACCCTCCAAGAAAAATGTCATCAGAACCCGATCCCCTCTCTCAAACTGCGGAAGACAACGCAACGATCAGCAAGAAGCAAGCAAAGAAAGAGGCAGCGAAGGCCGAGAAGCTCCGGCGAAAGCAAGAGGAGGTCGCGAGGTTGACCTAATGTCCTCCAACTACGGCGACGTGCCGACCGAGGAGATCCAGTCGAAGACCATCAGTGGCCGCAAGTGGACCGAGATCGGGTCTTTGACGGCTGATCTCGCCGATCAGTCGGTGTTGATTCGAGGCTCAGCGCAGGCGATCAGGGCAGTTGGGAAAAAGATGGCGTTTTTGGTGGTGAGGCAGTTTATGAGCACGGTTCAGTGTGTGGTGACGGTGGATAAGGAGTTTGTGAGTGCTCAGATGGTGAAGTTTGCTAATGGGTTGAGTAAGGAGTCTATTGTTGATGTTGCAGGGGTCGTTTCGATTCCGAAGGAGGCGATCAAGGGGACGACACAACAGGTTAATTTTTATTCTCAGAATTTTACTTCCGGTTTCGGGGGCGGAGAGAATTTTTATCCAGGTTAAGCACTGAGGGCCAGTCTGTTATTGTTAGTGCTTATAATAAGTTGCTTATAAAGTTTTTACCACCCTAAGAAGTCTAGTATAATTTTGAAAAATTCATATATTTTGTTCCATGTGAGAAGTGTATCACAATTTTTCATATAAGAGAAAATACAAATCAAGTTGTACACTGAAATAGAAGTGAGCATTACTGCGTTAGATGTATTAAACTTGAATATATGATACAAAACAAAATAAGAAGTGTATCACTATTTTTCATATAAGAGAAAATACAAATCAAGTTGTATACTGAAATAGAAGTGAGCATTACTGCGTTAGATGTATTAAACTTGAATATATGATACACAACAAAATAAGTAATTATTTAGCAGTACATATGCAAATATCGGTCGGTTTATAAGCACATAAGCCATATGTAATTATAATTTTCTCCTAATTCAGGTAATCATGCTATAGTAGCAATTATAGACACAATCCAACCAGGGATGTTATTTTTAAACGACATAATAGATTTGGAGGTGTAAGTTAGAAATATGAAGATTTGGGGGCACAATATATAATTAAGAGAATTGAGAACCTAATGTGATAAAACCCCTTCTCTTAATGCTGTCTTATACCAAAGAAGTAAAATTATTATTAAAAAAACATATTCTTGCTTCTGCAGGTGGAGATTCAAGTGAAAAAAATCTACTGTATCAATAGAGCAGTGCCCAACCTACCTATTAATATTGAGGATGCTGCACGAAGTGAGAAGGAATTTGAGAAGGCAGAGCTGGTAAGTGTGCAATTTGCATAATTTTTGCTTGTTTCTCTTTCTGCTAGGTCTGCTAAGTAACACATTTGATATGTTACCATATTATTTTATCTTCATTCATGAATTCCATAAGCTTTATTATTATGTTTATCCGGTATCCTCAATCTTCGCAGACGGGAGAGCAACTTGTTCGTGTGGGTCAAGACACACGGTTAAACTATAGAGTACTGGACATGCGTACTCCTGCAAATCAAGGAATTTTCCGCATTCAGTGTGAAGTTGAAAATGTAAGCATGTTATTTCTAGAATCATCTCTGGATATGTCTTGTTCTGACCTACTTCTTTATCTTCCATTGTTGATATATCAAACAGTGAAAATAAATGTTTCTCCCCATATTGGAAGTTCCTAGTTGAGTTTACAATCCAGTATCTAAAATTTGCTAATCCTTTGACTTTGTAAGTTTTATCTTGGTTTCTTGTTGGATTTTTATTAGTTGACTATTAGATGTCAATGCATGTTTAAGTTTCTTTTAAAGAGGAATTTATTATATAATTTACGTTAAGTTTTGTTAATAATATGAAAAGAATATCTTGCATTTGCAGCTGTGCCCATGTTGATGTACATATTTTTCCAACATTGTCGCCAAAAGGATGCTCATTTATCAGGAAGCAAGCTTTTTTCCTTGATAGTTTTGTAGAGATTATCTCCTTTTTCAAATTCAAGCTCGGAAGCAAGTCAGATAGGCATCTTTATAGCAGAAATATGCTGGAATTCCTTTTTATAGACCTATCATATGTTCATATGAATGTTAGTTCACATATGACAATATAGAAGCGTAGGATATAATATTTTAATAAAACTGACATGTTATTTGATCTGCTTCTCATATATACAGATCTTTCGACAGTTTATGCTGTCCGAAGGCTTTGTTGGGATTCATAGTCCGAAGTTGATAGGTGGATCGAGTGAAGGTGGTTCAGCTGTATTTAAGCTGGACTACAAGGGACAACCTGCCTGCTTGGCACAGTCCCCTCAGCTTTATAAACAAATGGCAATATGTGGTGGTTTTGGACGAGTTTTTGAGGTTGGTTCTGTATTCAGAGCAGAAGACTCATACACTCACAGGCATTTATGCGAATTTGTTGGTCTTGATGCTGAAATGGAGATTAAGGAACATTATTTTGAGGTAAGAAGCATGCTTATGCGTATTGCGATTGAAGAAATTTATCAGAATCATCAATCAATGCTTGTGTATGCAGGTAATAGATATTGTGGATCGGTTGTTTGTTTCAATGTTTGACTATTTGAATGAAAAGTGCAAGAAGCAACTGGAGGCTATTGACAGACAATATCCATTTGAACCTTTGAAGGTAAATGATATTAACCATAAGCACATGGAAAAAAATATATCAAGTTAAATTGAATTGGAAATTCATACTTTATTTTACTCACTTACTGGTTCCTGATTATTGTATTCCCTACAGTACTTGAGGAAGACATTGGTGCTTACCTTCCAAGAGGGGGTTCAAATGCTTAAGGTGCAAGCCTTCAAACTTAAATGATTCTTTTAGTATGTAATTTTCATCTTCGTCTGTTTCCAGATTTCAACTTCCCAAATTTCAACTGCGTATTATGCTTGTACTACCTTTGCATGTTTTAATTTAGTATATTCCTTTGTTTCGTTGGCTTCCAAATGTTGACTCTAATGCGATTAGAGTGATGCTTTTATTATTGTACTACAAGAAAATTTTCAATATATGATGTGACGGGAAAAAATGATCGGTATAGATGTTTGTTATAGGATGATTATCTTCAAGAACCAGCATTGGATTCGTCAATATAATAAATTGTTTTGAATCTTTGTAATACGTGAAATAAAGGTCCCATAAGGAAATAAATCCTTCATGGAGAGAAGTTGTAACTTGCATGAGACTATGAGTCTTGGTCACAAATATTCAAATACTCAGGTGGTTGCAATAAATTTAGAAAAGGGTCACAATACTTTAGGGTGTCCTAAAGTTCCTCCACCGAACTGTAGGTGGTGTTTTATCTACCTTATTCATTCAGAACAATGCACAAGTCCCCCCCACCCCACCCCACCCCACCCCACCCCAAAAAAAAAGTTGCTATATCTGCTTAACAGAGATTGAGGAGAGGGTGAAGACACGTTTTTTATTTGTTGTTGATTTACATTTGTCGTATACCTTTTCCATGTGTTTAACATATTTTCGTTCAGTTGACATTTTTAAATTGTCGCAAATTAATAGGAAGCTGGCGTAAATGTAGACCCTTTGGGGGACCTGAACACAGAGAATGAGAGAAAATTGGGCCGTCTTGTTCTTGATGAGTAAGTGTATGCTTTAGTTGTAGTTATCCACTAATTCAGTTTTGTCAGCATAATAACTGTTGTATATTGTTTACCCTAGTACCTCATTCTTATTGTCACAGGTATAACACTGAGTTCTACATACTTCACCGATACCCATTGGCTGTACGACCATTCTACACCATGCCATGTTATGATGACCCAGTATATAGCAACTCATTTGATGTCTTTATTCGAGGTAGGATGCTTTGTACATTTTTGTTTGTTTTTTATGCTGATTGTGTAAATTGTACATGGCTCTGAATTTAGGGTCCAAGTGGCATGAGTTCTTTAACTGTCCTGCAGATAACGGGTTTGGATCAATAATACTATTGTAAACCTGTTTTGATTGAGTACAGGACAGTAAATAATCACCCTAAACTAACCTATATAATCCCTGGTTTCAAACTTCACTTTTTAGTAATGAATTCCTTCTTATGCCTCCTTTTCTCTACAATGCCTTATTGCATAATCCCATTTTGATCTTGCTAATTAATTTGGACGATATGTGCCAAAAAGCATGATAATTCTGCTAACATGTTCTATTTCTTTGATTTCCTTTAATATAATTTCTGATGGTTGCTTCACGTCCTATTACTTTTTGGGAGTAAACTAGAGTTACATTTTAACATCATGTAATTTACCTTAGCAATTCATTTTCAGTAGTCCATAGCGCCTACCTATAAATATGAATAAACATCATGAATATGTAATGGATGGGCTCCTAGGAGAGGAGGCAAGTATGTTTAGTAGTGAAGGTTTTTATTTATTTAGAGCAATCACATTCAGGAAAAACCCACTTCTGAAGTTTTGGGATATTCGTGCTATTCAACTATCTATTTTTTATGAGGTACCTTTTGCGTTACATTTGTCTGTACAAAAAGGATGTGTAGCATCTGGATGCTGTTTAGTTAGCTCTCTATCCAAGTTGGCTCTATATCTATCTGCTAATATCTGTCCATCTATCTAGCTACACACACAAGCGGACACACCCCATTCTAAGCCCAAGGTTTTGGCTTTAAAGACAACGGGATTGTTAAAACATTGTGCAAAGTATGGAAGAATTTGAAATACTTAAAACATATAACCTTTTATGTTTTCTGTTCTAACTTGGTTCTAAATATGTTAAAGGCGAGGAGATAATCTCAGGGGCTCAAAGAATACATTCACCTGAACTTCTGACCTCACGCGCTAAGGCGTGCGGAATTGATGTGAAGACAATATCAACGTACATTGATTCATTCAGGTAAGCCTTTCTAATTTGTCAATTTGCTCCACTTGGTCGTGTTATAAACAGATTCAGTTATATGTAATTGTTGATACCAGATTAGCCAACCATTCATTTGGTTAAAGCTTAGACAAGTACATTCACAACAAAAAACAAAATAACCTTCCCAAATACCTTTGGTTGTTTGATTTAGGGCTAATTTCACAAAAAAACCTCTGAACTTCGTGTACGTTTTGCACATAACCCCTTGAACTTTTTTTTTATCTCACAAACCCCCCTGAACTTTGGTGCGTCTTGCAAAAACCCATCAGAACTTAAACTGTTCTTGCTGGACCCTGCATGTAATTAGCATGTAACTAAAATGTTCTTGAGAGAAAACCCCCAAAGGCCAGGGTTTTTGTCATCGTGAAATTAGCCGTTTGATTTATGTATCTTTAAGGAACTAAGACTTTTACCATGCAAATTTAGGCATCATGACAGCAGATATATTCGTAAAGATTAGTTGTGTTTCTGAGGCTGACAAGTAAATGCAATGCTTGTAATTTTTATCTGTGGTAAATATTTTTTTTCAATAGGTATGGTGCTCCTCCACACGGTGGATTTGGTGTGGGCTTGGAGCGTGTAGTTATGCTGTTCTGTGCCCTTAACAACATTCGCAAGACGTCACTCTTCCCTCGCGATCCACAGAGACTTGTTCCATGAAATATTGCCCATCTGCTGCTGGTTCTCTGTTCCAAATCTTCATGCTGTTTGCATTCTTGACCTGAAATGATTGGTTGAGAAAAGTTTTCTTCTGTTCATTATATGCAACATTTCTATGGCTCTTCAGTAGCTGATGTATGAATTGTAATTTTCTAAGCACATCTTAGCTGAAAAGAGAATTGAAAGGATTATAACTGTGGTATTGTATGGAATTTTTAGTAATGCAATTTTCTATATTTCTTTGTTGAATCACTTGATTAACCGAAAATTGTCCACATGAGGAAGTTTACTAGGATATGAATAATTGGTTTTTCAATGGAGAAACTTCACTCTGTTGAACCCTTTTTACTTGCTGCGTAATATTTCTTCTTTCCCGTATCGCTGGTGACGCTGTTTGTTGTTTGATGATGGTTTCTAGCATGTCATCCTACAATTATGCAAATATGCATGTTTGGCCTCATATTTTTCGGTATTTTCACTCATACCCTTCAAGGCATATTGGTCACGGCTCTTTTCTGGCGTCACCTGTTAATAACAATGAAATTTGGGGAAAATGTGTACAGGCCCCAAAAGTAGAAACTTAATGTGATGAGGCCTTTCATAGTTTTCCCCATGTGAATCAGCCCATTGATGTGTGACATTTTGTACTGCAGCCCTTTTTTATTAATTATTACATGCTAGCTAAGCTAAAATCCCCAAATTATCCTTATCCACTCTCCTCAATCCCTCAGACCTAGCACTCATATCCTCTCTCTCTCATCTCTCTCCCTCTCTCTCTCTCTCTCTCTCTCTCTCTCTCTCTCCCTCCCTCCTCTCTCTAAAATTAAAAGCTTTCTCAAGCTCATCACCCTGGCCCTCGCCCTCCTCGCCGTTGCCGCCTCCGCTAAGGCCCCAAAGGCTCTCCTCGAGTTCGCCGCCGCCTCCCCTCCTCTCCTCCATCCGTCCTCGTCGCCGTAGATCGCCGCTGCTCCCCCGTCGTAGATCGCCGCCACAGAGCTTGAGGAAAACGCTCGAAAAGCTCAGGCAATTGAAGACTGTTGAGGAGTACAGTGAGATGATCCGAAGGTATGATGTTAATGGAGATGGTGTTTTATGCTTTGATGAATTTAAGAAGATGATGCTACGAGAGTAGGTTGGTTTTTGAGATTGATCTTTACCGTAAATGATGATGTTATTGTGCCCTGTTGAGATTTGGACATTACTTTTTCTTTTTTCTTTTTTTGAGATGACTTTGATCAATTGAGGGTTCATGTTGACAATATATCTACATTTTTAATTTCTCACATGACTATGGATTTATCCTTATGAGCTTCTGTATTTGTAAATTGTGCTCGATTCTGTTATGAATGTTTTTTTAGTCACCAGGACGAGACGCACAGAGCATTAATCCATTAGCTAGAAGAAGAAAAAAAAATGTTTGACCAGCTACAAATAAATGAACGATTTAATTTTAAAAAATAGTCAAAAGTTGTCCCCATTTTTCCACTTTCACGAGACATCCACGCCTTTTTGGAGGAAGCTGAATTTGCAATAAACCTAATGTCCGCAATCTTTTTGTATTTTAATTTCGAACAAATTTTTAAAATAGACCACTTTTAAAACTTAATTAGCAAAATAAGCTGAAAAAATATTTAATTATCAAAAATCGTTGTAAGCTGGGACGGTAGTTATAAATCGTTGTTATAAATGAGGATACAGTCATGTTTTTATAAATCGTTGTTAATTATATTTGATAATAGTTATACCTAATGATATGTTATTTCTAGATGCTATCGTGGTAGTTCTAGTAGCCCTCGAGTTAGTTCTAGCTGCTACAATTGTTAATTCTGGCTACTAAGTTAGTTCTAACCGCTACTTGTTATTTTTGCTTCTACCTACCTTCTATTACCCTAGTTCTAGCTTGTATACAGCCAGTGCTAGCCCACACCTTGCTAGTTCTAAACTCAGCCCGCGTTTTTTACCTTCACACTTGTTAATTCATGCTTCTACGTTAGTTCTAGCTTCTATTACCCTAGTTTTAGCTTGTATATAGCCAGTTCTAGCCCACACCTTGCTAGTTCTAAACCCAACAAGGGTTTTTTACATGTATATTTGTTAATTCTAGCTTCTAGCTTAGTTCTAGCTTCTATTACCCTAGTTCTAGCTTGTATACAGCCAGTTCTAGCCCACACCTTGCTAATTCTAAACCCATAGTTTGTATACAGCTAGTTCTAACTCACACCTTGCTAGTTCTAAACCCAGCCCGTATTTTTTACATGCACACTTGTTAATTCTAGCTTCTACCTTAGTTCTAGCTTCTATTACCCTAGTTCTAGTTTGTATACAGTCAGTTCTAGCTCACACCTTGCTAGTTCTAAACCCAGCATTTGTATTTTACCTTCACACTTGTTAATTCTTACTTCTACTTGCTAGTTCTAAACCCAGCCCATGTTTTTTACCTTCACACTTGTTAATTCATGCTTCTACGTTAATTCTAGTTTCTATTACCCTAGTTCTAGCTTGTATACAGTCAGTTCTAGCTCACACCTTGCTAGTTCTAAACCAGCCCGTGTTTTTTACATGCACGCTTGTTAATTCTAGCTTCTACCTTAGTTCTAGCTTCTATTACCCTAGTTCTAGCTTGTATACAATCAGTTCTAGCCCACACCTTGCTAGTTCTAAACCAGCCCGTGTTTTTTACATGCACGCTTGTTAATTCTAGCTTCTACCTTAGTTCTAGCTTCTATTACCCTAGTTCTAGCTTGTATACAATCAGTTCTAGCCCACACCTTGCTAGTTCTAAACCCAGCCCGTGTTTTTTACATGCACACTTGTTAATTCTAGCTTCTACCTTAGTTCTAGCTTCTATTACCCTAGTTCTAGCTTGTATACAGCCAATTCTAGTCCACATCTTGCTAGTTCTAAACCCAGCCTTCGTTTTTGACCTTCACACTTGTTAATTCTAGCTTCTACCTTAGTTCTAGCTTCTATTACCCTAGTTCTAGCTTGTATACAGCCAGTTCTAGCCCACACCTTGCTAGTTCTAAACCCAGCCCGTATTTTTTACATGCACACTTGTTAATTT